TTGATTGGATTAGTTTCATGTAAAAGAACTTATAATGGAGTCTGTTAACATGAAGATTTTGAGTAAAATTCTAGTCTTAAAAATAGTAAACATTACTTTTCTTAACATGAAAGTAAAATTTTACTCCCATTCAGATTAAATGTTACTGTATTTCGGAGTAAAATTTACTTTGAATTGAAAGTAAAATTTTATTATGTTAGAGTTTGTTTAATAGGAGTGAAATTCTAGTCTAAAAGATAGTAAAACATTAGTTTTCTTAACATGAAATTAAAATTTTACTTTATTTCAAAGTAAAATTTTATTGTATTTCAGAGTAAAATTTACTCTGAATCGAAAGTAAAATTTTACTGTGTTGTTGAATATTTGTCTATGCAGTTTCTGATTTGTTTTCTGAATTGAAAGTAAAATTTTACTCTATTGCAAAGTAAAACTTTACTTTAAAGTATGTGAGTCTTATGGGAAAACATTTCCAACATGCACCAAAATTTACAACAAACACAAAGTCCTGGCTGCTCATAACGCAATCTTTGTGCAAAAATAATATAACACCACAACTACATATATTATCAAGAGACACAAAATATAAATTGTATCATTGTATTGTATCCATAACAATGTTCTATAACAATGTTCCATCCTAATCCATAACAAGTATAACATGTATCATTGTTACTATTTTAGTACTCTTTCACCTACAATTACTCTTTCAGCATTCATTCATTTACAAAAAAGCAAAATTACATTCAACATTCACATCAGATACAAAAAAATAGTTCTCAAAAGTTGTCCACATCACCGTCCATGAGGTCTTATTGCTTGGCTATTTTTCTTTTGAGGTTGAATTGTTTCTCACCCTATGCCTTTGAAGAATCATTCAAAAATTAATGCACTATTGGTGCTTGAAAATTGTTAATTTCATCCTCTTCCATAGGCTTTGCAATAGACTCATCTTTCATGATTTGACGCATGATATAACATACAATTCTGTAATCAACACTGTTAATAGAAATCAAAATCTTGTTAGATTTACTCAAATTTGAAAATCAACAAAATCATGAAGCTTACCATTTTCTAACATATAAACAAAGAATATTCATGAGGCCAAAGAAAAAAAAGAGTAGGGAAAAATGCATAAACATTGTAATGAAACAGTAAATTTTACTGTGAAAGTAAAATTTTACTCTGTTTAGAAGTAAAATATTACTGTCACTGAAAGTAAAATTTTACCTTGATTGATTAGTAGTTTTGTTTGTAACATAAGTCAATAAAGCAGCAAACAAGTAGGCAAGCATCTACACTATCACTTACTTTCAAAATTAATGCAATTAAATCACATAAAAGCAACAAGAAAAGGAAAATCAAAATCAACCAAACACACCAAACTACATCAAAATCGATCGTTTATAGGGCTTCAATTCAGGTCAAAAGCAATAAGAGAGGAAATAAATATCAAACAAACTCGCATTATAATCCATATATTGTAATAAAAAAAAATTATCCATTATTACCAACACAAAACAGAGATAAAAACCATTCATCTGACATTTAAGCAAATTAAAACATCACAACGCCAAAAAAAAAAAAAAAAGCATACAAAGTGCATAAGAGGACAAACTTTATTTTTCATTAACCAGAGTAAAATTTTACTTTTACGAAAACAGAGTACATACTAGATAAAGAAATTATAGTCGAATTTTACTTTAGATCTATGAACAAACAAACAAACAAAAAAAACTCTCATTTTTTCATTGTAATATATCAATTTATCATTTTTTTGACATATATGAAGTCATTTTATCTCAGATTTGAAGTTATTGATCTCAAACATAAGTTCATAGGTAGCAAATATGAGATGGTGATGTATTTCAATAGACGATTTCAAGATTTCAATTTTGTAAGATGCATCAAAGATGGAGATCAAAAGGGTATAGGGTTTAGAAAGAGAGAAAATAAAGGGAAAAGATATAGGATACCAGTAACGTGAAGATAGAAAAGAAGAGAAATTGTTCAACGAGGGTTTCGGATTATATGGAAGGGTATTTCAGTCTTTTCACCATATTTTTTCATTTGTGAGACTTTTAAAACCATTATTTTATTCAGTGGGTTTCACACAAAAAAGCCCAATAGAAGGGGTTTTTCACCAAAAATCCCATTTTAATATTGGTACGTTGTGTAAGTATGTACTGTACCCATGTATTTCAGTGTTTGTTTTGAATTTATCACTATATATATATATATATATATATATGTTTATGATTATCAAATGTTAAATATACTTAGAAAGTAATATAATGCTTCATATAATAATTATAAAGGAGAGGCTTCTCTCCAACTGTGGGGCCTGTGGGGCCACCACGAGTCATGTTTTAATGATCCGAACCATTTAATGTGTAGAGCTCGTCGAGTAATTTATCTTTGTAAAAAATCACGTTTATTGAATCAGATTTTTGTCAATAATTTATTTTAAAAATCATATTTACCGTTGACAAAAATCTAATCTGATCAAGTAGTTATTGATACCCGATCAACGTGATTTTTTACACAGATAAAGTACTCGACGAGTTCTACACATTGAACGATTCAGACTATTGAAAAATGACTCGTGATGAGCCTCTACGGGCCCAACAGCACGCTCCGGTCCAATCTCAAGCTAAAGAGAAGCCTGACCCTAATTATTATTATTATAAATAATGTATACTTTTCAAAGAGGAAATATCATTTTTTTCCTCCAAACAATTACGCATTTTTCAATTTGGCATCTAGACTTCGCATTATTTTAATTTGACCCCAAATTTTTTTTTTAAAATTTGATCAATTTAACCCCCCACTGTCTATTTTTGTCTACAATCAAACGAGACTTGCTGACGTGATACCAAAATTCATTTAGAATTTCATTTTACCTCCCAAACTATATCTTAAAAGAGGAATGATGGAGACCCTCTCCAATCACCACCCCCACTTCCCCCCACACACACATGGCAGGTGGTGATTGGAGGACAAGGGAAAAAAAAAAGAAAATCCAACCAATGAGAGAGAGAGAGAGGGTCAAAGGGAGTGGGAAAGAGAGAGAGGGAGAGGGGGTCTTAGACATTTTTTATCTTAAAAATCAATTTGCCCCAAAATATTAATTTTTTTAATATTTAATTAATAATTTTTTATTTGAAAAATGAAAAAAAATCAAATTTTAAATAAAAAAAATTGAGTATTAGTCATATTAGTATTCTTTAGAAAGTAATTGACTTTTAAATTTTTTTTATCCACTCAATTTTGAAATTACTATTTGTCGATCAATTCCATTGAAATTAATTCGAGAAATAAACTAGTTACACACACAGAGAGTAATTAAGAAATTTTCGGCTCAATTAATTTTACTCAAGATAATTTGAGACCTATGAAGCATAGGTACGGCTACGTCGATATAATATAATCCCAAAAAAGTATTGTACAGGTACGATTTGGAACGCTAGTAAAAAAATTTATTTTTAATTTAGAATAATGAAAAAATTCATTAAATGGTTTAATTTGTTAAGATCCAACATATAATTAACATTTAATTCCACAAAGTATAGGAATAAGATAAAAGGAAATATTATTTTGCTCTCTAAACTTTAACGAGTTTTTCAATTTGGACCCCAGATTTAGTATATATTAATTTGCCACCCCAAACTTACGAAATTTTAATTAATTTGGCCCCTGCCGCTGCATTCCGTTTACAATCAAACGGAATTTGCTGAAGTGGCACCAAACTTAATTTTGAAGCTCCACCGCCCATTCTCCCAATAAAAATGCCCGTGGCAACATATTTTGCTCCTATGAATACTTCTTCATCTTTGGTTTCTGTAACCTATGGCTCTACTACTGTTTGTAATAGCAGCCAACTTCATTCTTCAAGCTATAGTTACAACACAAATTCTTCCAAGTTCACCTCATCCTCTGCAACTTCTTCATCTGCATCATCTCATATACAAAAGTAGGTTGATTGAGAAAGTATCTAGTCCAATATTTAATGTATTTGAACATAGTAAAATCATAGTTATAGATATTGATTTCATAGTTTTTACTCTTTGTGCAATTTATACTATGTATTGGTACCGATGTATCTGCCAAACATAGACATGCTCGTTCATGCTTGTGAAATGTTAAAAATACTTAGAGAGTAATATACGTTGTATATAATAAATATACTATGTTTGTAAACTATATAGATAACTCATAGAAGTTAAATATAATTGAGAGCTTATATAACATTACCTACAACAAGTACATTCATCAAATTATGCTTTTAGACAAATATGTAGTATAGGCTGAAATTTATAGGGCTGAGATAATGAATTAAATCCATGAAAAAACATGAATGCAACCACTAAAATTTTGACATAAGCATTTGATAATGTTTGTAATGTTTCTATGACCTCAAGTAAAAATGAATAATCTTAAAGCATGGAATACCTTCCTATTATTGATTCAGGCTACATAACTATATCAATATGCTTTACAAAAAATGCCATCTACAGATTGGCCACAAATCCTTAAGTTTTTGTTTATCAAAAATAGATACAAATCACAAAATCAAATGTAGATATACATACATCTTCATTCATTCATTTGCATATGAAACTAAACAACAAAACCGAACCGCAACATCATGGTCAGTTCCATTCCTCAACTAACAAATAAAAGGTTCAAATTGGTGCTAAATTTTTCCACAAAACAAAAAATTAAGGACTATTCAACCTAACACTAATGCACATTGATTCATTGACTCAAATAGAAGAGTAAAATGGATCAAAAAACAACAAACATAAAAGGAAACCAACCCATCAAACACATAAAATGGCCCATGGATGCTTGTGAATAAAAGAGCTAGAAAACCAGCGCAGTCCAAAAAGGCCTAAGACTCATCTGGCCCAGTTACCACCAGGAATCCATTCACATATTTGGAAGAGGCCCAAGACAGCCCAGGAAACAATCAGAGGGGTAAGAAAAACAATGGACCAGGTTGAATCATCCCAAATCAAAACAACCAGATTCACATGCTCCGCCTCCTTCAAACTGGGGAAAATTTGGGGAAAGTTCATCACTTCACGCCAATGCTCCTAGGGCAGAGGATCCAGTCTGTGAGCAGGCTAAGGCTATTAAACAAACATCGGATTGGATAATAACAGGTCAGGTAAATAACTTTATAGTGTTGCGGGCAGGCAGGAACCCTAGCCGCCGACTGCCCCGTTTTCATCTGCAGTATCATTAATCTGCAGGGTTTATCCACAGCGCAATCAAACTAAAACCCCGTGGCTCTGCGTTTTGTTCTTGAGAGGATGGTGAAAATCAAAACTGGGTATGTCAATCCAAAGCTTGGATTTTGGTTTGCCAGCAGCGCTTTCAAACCCCAGTTGTATTCCTCTTTGCCGCGTACTGACCATTATCCTCTGTTTGAGGTCTCTCTATCTCTAGACTCTAACCCACACACACTCACACTCCCTTTACCGATATTATTGTTTGTTATTATCGTATTGTATCGTATTGTATGTGATTGATTAATTGATTGTGAGCTTTTTTTAATAACAGGACATTATAGTTCCTCGCTTGGCTTCCCGTCGTCCCCTTCTTGGTGGAACTGCCCTGTATAGACCCTTAGACCATCCTGAGATTTTAAGGATAGCTCGAATCGCGGTTAAGCAGTACAACCGGCAGCAGGTTTTATTATTATTATTATTATTATTGTGTTTGTGTATTCCTGTATTCCTGTATTCTATCTTTACAATAATAATATTAAGGCCTTGTTTGGGTTAATCTAGGTTAGCACATTTTTAATTTTTATTTATTTATTTAGGCCACATTACAACTCTTATAAATACCTCTCTTATTTGGGTTATATCATTTTATCTTATTTAGGTCACGTTACCTTTTATTTGAGTTACATTATCTCTGTATCACATTTTAGATATTTTCGTAAAAAGTCAAAACCCAAACAACCTCTTAGCATAATGATTGTTTGATTATGCTCAATTCCAACTTTTGGTATATATATAGCAAATAGAAGAGAAACATGTCTTCCACCTTGCTAAACATAATGTGAATTGAGACATTGTAACCTTGCCCTCTTTAAAAGAGATTCAAGCTATCTGCATTTGATAACACCTTCATATCCCTCCAGTGGCGACTCCAGCAATATTTACAGACCGGGTCACCTCACATGTTCAAGTTCTACAAATTGACAGGAAATAAAGAAATTTACACTAAACAACTTTTAGGTGCTGTTTGTAAACTTAACTTTAAGTTTTTTTTTTTTTTTTTGCCAAAAAGCTATAAATAAAAAATAAAGAATAAAAAATAAAGAATAAAGAAAAAGAGGTCAAAATGTAAATAAATAAAAAAACAATAAAAAAAATAAAAATCCAAACGAGATTTTATACTTCTCAAGCTACGTAGAATAAATTACAAATATATTATACTGTTGTCTTACGAAAAAAATAACATACTTTTACAATTTCATTTGATGAGGTCTTATTTTTTAGATTTGTAGCATATTAACCTTATTGTCAAGAATGTCAAAACACATTTTCTTATATATATGTTAAGACTTGGCTTAATAACCTTAAGGTTATGGGTTCAATGGTTAAGACTTGGCTTAATAACCTTAAGGTTATGGGTTCAAGTCATGGGGCCATCACTTTGTGCATTATGCCAAAGGTTAGGTGTGCACTCAATCTTTTCCCTCCCAAACACACATTTAATGTGTACTAATTGGGCGTTGTTTATTTATGTAATCAAGAAATTATTCATTTATTGAAATTAAATTATATGGTGGGCTCCTTTAATTTTTTAATGAGGCTAAACCATATTGAAAAAAACATTAGTAATATAAAAATATATATATATATATATATTTTTGTAAGTGTTTCTGATTGGTTGATGGGGGGATTGGTCTCGATCAACCTATAGGTATCGTCACCCCTGTAGCCCCGCCTATGTTGCATACCTTTTCATTTGACTTGTCTCTCTCAAGCAAAGTTTCTAAAAGGCATTGCATAATTCAAGGTGTTTTACCTCTCGATGTGCATTTCAAATTTTAAATTTTTATATTTTGTAAATAAAATTTATTATTTTAAAGTAGTAAAAAAATTAAAATTGAAAAATTAAATACAAAACTATAAATACTTTTCTCCTCAAGGCACAAAACGCTTCTTTGCAAAGAAGGAAACCTACCTTTATTGAAAGTCAATTGACATTCTTAGCTTTACTGATTGATCTTCTCCCTTGTGCTTTTGACTTTGTGTGTGTGTGTTTTTTTACTGGTCATTAACTTAATTTTTCCTACAAAATATAATTGCAAAAGATATTCCTTTTTATTTTTTTTATTTTTCCTTTCTGTATAAACTCTCTACTAGACTGAGTTTAACAAGAACCTACGACAAGTTTTTTCGTATGCGTGGCCCTCATATGCTTGTACAGTGGTAGAGCCAAAGCCAGAAATTTAATGTATTGGGGGCACATATTAATCTCAATATTGAATTTTTTTTTTGTTTCTCCCACATTGAGCAACAGTGAAATATTATTAGACTTGTTATACATTTTTTAAAATATTAATATTACAATTATTATGCGAATGTGGTTTATAAGTTCTCAATCAACAACTCAATTCTATAAACCAACAATAGGGAGAAACAACCTACTTAATCTACAATCGACAAGTCCAATCCTATCAGCTCACAAAGAGCCCTACAATGGAAAGAAACAACCAACTAAACAAACCCCTTATTGGGAATGAAATGATCAATTGATTCAATTCCCATTCTTGGCCTCTCAGTTAAGAATCAATATGAATGTCCAAAAGAATCAAATAGGACACTTCCAAAGTTGTGCATAATTTAAGGAGGGACACTATTGTAATTTTATGTGGGATAAATAAGAAATAATCTTTATATATAAGGTTATTAGTATAATAGTAGTGCTAGGATCCCAGAAAAGTTTCTGGGCAAAAAACCAAGAGAACACATTGGAGGGATGCGATTCAATTCAAATGCAAGTCCCATTATACATAATTACATTTACACTACAATATTCATGGTAAAAATCTGGGTATTTTTTTTCCTATTCCTTAGTTTCTGTTAGTTTAAATATTAAAAATTTAAGGTGGGCACGTGGTCCCCCAGGCCTTAGCTAGGTTTATCTATGTGCTTTTGCACAAAAGGCATACAAGGTGCACCTAAGGTGCATGCCTCATATTGTGATGCGCAAACCTTTGGGGAATATAGCCTAAAAATGAAAGTCTTGATGTGTTTTGCCTTAAGCCTGCCCTCGACGCTCGGCTCGGTAAAGCCTTTTAAAAGTTTGCTCTCAAGAGTCAAGATACAATAGCCCTAGCTATACAGATCATTTGCACAAGAAGTTGAGTTGTACAGAGTACTCGAAAAAAACAATGTAAAAACAAGGGAAAATTACAAATTAGTTGTGCCTTCATAAAATATTTACAAATTCATGAAAAAGTTTAGAGTAATGATATATAAACAAAAAATTCATACATAATGATGTGGCTTATTGTGAACCTTTCACTTCAAAACAAAACACCATTGAAGATGAATTTATTTACAATATTTGCATTGCCACATCATTATTGTTATGTTTCTTGTATGAATTTTTCGTATGAATAGAATTTTCCAAAAGTTTATAATTTTAAAAATATAGAAAGAGAACAAAGACACAAAGAGAGACTCGTATCACACTGCCACAAGGCTTAAGACTCTACAAATACTGAATTGAAAGAGTTACATATACATAGGAAAATGCTCAATTGAAAGAGTTACATATATATATAGGAATAAACTTTTATCAATTTTTATCACATATTTTTGCCTTCTATTATTTTATTTAATTATTTGTCCTTTCTATTTCCTTCACGAAACTCTCTTCCTTCTTTTTTTTAATTTTTTTATCAACAATTTCAATGGCAGCTTTTCTTTATCTTCTCTTACTTATCCATGTGACAAAGATATAAAATATACATTTAATGAATATAACTAGAATGCTCTATTTAGATCACAAAGGTAAAAGGTTCATATTTTTAATATTAAAATATATTGTGCATTGCATGATGGATTGACATATCTATACTTGTTTTAATATTGAAAATATAGTAAACATCATGAAGGTATGCTATACACTAAACCTCCACTAGTGTAACAATGAGCTCTATTCTAGAGTTAGTCATATGCTCTACATTGAACTATGACTACTAAAAGAAAATATAGTTAAAATATCATTGCTTAGAACAATCTGACTTAATTTTGGAAATAAATGATTTATATTTTGTTCTTCATCCATTTTTATCACATGTTTTTGCCTCCTATTCTTTAATTTCATTATTTATCCTCTCTAGTTCCTTTGTGGAACTCTCTTCTTATTTTTTAATTTTATTGACTATGGCAGATTTTACTTATCCATGTGACAATGATGTAAAACGTATATTTAGGCCAAGTTTGGCATGATTGAAAAAAGACAAAAAGTCAAAAAGTCACTATCCTATTTAAGTCACATCATCTTATTTAAGTCACATCACCTCTCTAACACATCACTTCAAACCCAACCCAAACCCAACCCATATTTCATAAAAAGTTAAAAAGTGCACTTATTTAGTCTTCCCAAACTAGGCCTTAATGAATGTGAATAGAATGCTCTAGTTAGATCACATGGGTACAAAGTAAATAATTTTAATATTAAAATATGTTGTGCATTGCATTATGCACGGACACTTCTTATGTTTGTTGTGGTTATTGGATATGATCGATAAATGCTGGGCATCTTTTCTTGTAGAATACACAGCTTGAGTTTGTGAGATTGCTGAAGGCATACAAACAAAGTGCGGTTGGTACATTGTTTTCTCTTACTTTGGAGGCAATTGACGTTGGTGTGAAGAAAAAGTATTTTGCAAAAATTTTGAGAAATGCTAGCGAGAATTGCAGATTGGAGTTAGAATCATTTCAGCTTGTTCCTAACAAGATTGAAACATAATTGGCATGCCAGGTAACCATTTTACAACTCTGTAAAGTCTCACTTTGATCGAAGTCTTATACATATTTTGAAAGATTGCACAACAATTACTTCTTCATTGTTATATACCTCATCTACATGTTTGTTACTTTACTTGCGATTGACTTTTGTTGTAGTTATACATTATTACGTTTGTGAATGGAAACTGAATTAGAGATGCCATTCATTCCTAACATTTGGCAGCTTGTTTAACAAATTATAGCTTTTCTTCTTTTGATTATTTATTTATTTGTTGATGACTGGGTGTTCGGACCAACTTATGCGCACCTCAATTGATCCCGGGACCCACGCAAAGTGCCCTCTCCAAGTGGATCGGGCAAATCTCAAGCGTGGTCCCAAGGAATTAAAAGCACCTAGTTTTAGTTTAACCTAAGACCTGGAGGGAGCACACCCTCACGCCTCAAGTTGTACCCATTAGGCCAACCCCTTGGGGTTTCTTCCTTTGATTTATTGGTAGCTTTGTATCAAATGACTGTCGCTCACCCCATCTCCACAAATGGGGCAGTTTTTGTTGTTGCATATCTATACAAGTTTTTGTTTGTTTGTTTATTGTTATTTTTCAATAATCAATTCGAGGATTGTGTTAGCACATAGGGTTGTCCCCTTCCGCCAAAATTTTGCTTTCTAATATTATCATTTTTGTATGGATTTATTACATCTGTATGAAAGTTCTTTAGCCATATCTTTTTTTTTTTTTTTTTTTTTTAATATCTTGAATTTATCAATGCGAGTGCTTATTAGTTCTATCTTTGTATTATGTAGTGTTACAAATATTATTGTGTTTTTGTTTTACATATTATTTATGTTACTCATTCTTGTGCAACACCAAGTAACTTGAAAGCTATGTACGAGAATTATTTCTGTATTCAAACACTTCAATTGGCTACACAAGTCATGGTACATTTAGTCTTCCCTCGAATGAAATATACATCGCGACTGATGAAACTCTCAGGTACTCGTCCCTATAAGACAATGACACAAATAATTTGTCCTTGAGCAGCAAGTTGTTATTTGAGTACATCGTCCATCTTCCAAACATTCACCTCCCAAAAATTGAGTGTAAATCGAAAGTGCTTCCTCATGCTGTTATTGGGCATCAATAACCCTACACACCAAAGTGGGTTGTGCTACCAAGTTAAATAATATGACTTGCCCCTTGGCCTTGCCAATTACCCATAATCTTTCAATCTCGAATGGCGAAACTTGCCAAGTCCCCATGTGTCTTTTGGCTCAATATATCGGCTAGGACGTTGGTTTTTCTTGGGTGATATTGCAAGTCAAAATCATAATCCTCTAAGCACACCATCCAGCGTCATTGCCTCAAATTTAGATCTTTATGCTACAAGATTTACTTTAAGCCCTTGTGGTCAAAAAAGACTTAAAAATTTTTGCCATAGATATTGGTCAGCAACTAGGGTTGCAAACGAGACGAGCCTAGCCTAGCCTAGCCGAGCCTTGTTGGGCTCGAGCTCGGCTCGTTTGTTTATTGAGCTCGATTTGAAGCTCGATAATGATTTTTTTTTTGTTACTATTTTTTATATTATTTAAATGTATAAATAATATATTTATATATTATTTAAATAAAAAAATTGTTATGTTATTTAACATGTAACTAATATATTTATGCTATTATTTGTACAACTTTTATGTTATTAAATATAAATATATAAATCATATGTTTGTTTTATAATTTAAATAAAGGTAAACGAGCTTAAAAGTCCGGCTCAAACTCGTTTATTTACTTAACGAATCGAGTCGAGCCAAACCCTTAATGAGCTGAGCCGAGCGAAGCTTGCAAACAGTTTGGTTCGTTTGTAGCCCTATCCTATGTTACACGGACTCGGATACGGGTATTGGGTGTGGGTGCGTATCTAAGGGTCGGACACTTGAAAATTAAAATTTAAGGATACGTGGATATGTATCTAAATTTGGATACGGGTACGGGGGTACGTTAAATAGTTTTTTTTTTTAAAAATATATATTTATTATATGAAGATGAGTTATATTATATAAATAACAAATAAAAATTATTTTAGATATAAAATAAATTATATTATATATGATAAAATAAGATATTTTTATTTTAGATATAAAAATTATATTATTTATAATGCATTATATTATATAATTTTTTTTGGATGAATAATATTATATATTATTATATTAATGTAATTTATACTATATGTTAATATAAATGTAATATGAATAATGGATGAATAATATTATATAATATGAATAATATTATATTTGAATAAAAAAATAAGAGAAAAGAATAATATTATATGTATTATATTATTATATTATGAGATATATATTATCTACTAATATTATATACTAATAGACTACTAATATTATATACTAATAGAGAGAGATCGAGAGAACCGAGAAGAGAAGAAAGAAGTCGGCGAGTGACAGATAGAGTAGAGGGAGATCGAGATCGAGATCGACAGACGAGAGGAGAGGAAGAGAGATCGATAGATCGAGAGACGAAAGAGAACACAGAGAAGGAGATCGAGAGACGAGAGAGAAGACAGAGCAGGAGATGGAGATCAAGCATGTCGAAGCAGCGACCGATGTCTTCTCCGTTTCAACAGGCAACTAGGTTATCTCTCTCTCTCCCTCTTTCATTTCTTTTGCTGTCTGTAAAGAGCTGTGTCTGACAGAGAGCACGCGAATCTGACACAGATCCCACACCCACACCCGTGTCGTGTCGTGTCATGTTGACACGGGTACTTCACCCCAAAGTGCCGAGTCCATGTAACACGGGCCCTATCTGCAAAGAAAAACTATTGTCGCCAACTCCAAGTCATGGATGAGGGGGTAATTTTTCTCATGGTTCTTCAATTTTCTAGAATGATATGCCACAATTTTCCCCAATTGCATCTACACATATCTAAGGCCTTCCTTAGAAAATCACAATAAATGGTATAATTGACTACTCACTCTGTTATCAACATGCCCAAAATTGGTGATGTAGTCAACCTTGTTTCCATCTCTTGGAAAGCCACCTCACAAGCGTCATCACAAGTGAATCAACCTCCCTTGCTGGTTAGTCTAGTCATTGGCGCCCGCTAAACGAGAAAAATCCTACAAAAAATGGCAGTAATAATTGGTTAAAATTAGGCCAATCTCTGCCTCAAAGACACGATTTGGTCGCTGCCAACACATCACTACCTCGATGTTTTTGGGTTCAAGTGGCACACTATCTTGCGATACTACATGCCCCAAGGACTTCACTTCTAACAACCAGAAGTCGCATTTCTCGTACTTGAAATAAAGATGATACACCCTCAAAAGCTATAAGTCCATCCTCCAATGATCTTCGTGCTTTTCCTCGATAGGTGAGTAGACAAGAATGTCGTTGACAAGCACCACTACAAATCTATCCAAGTAAGCTTGAAAGATCTAAATTCATTAAGCCCATAAATGTTGCGGGGGCTTTGGTCAAATGAAAGGCATCACCGCAAAGTCATAGTGTCCGTATTGGGTGGGAAATGCAACCTTAACGATGTCTTCCTAGTTGACTCTCAATTGATAAGTATCCCAGTCAAGTCTATCTTTGAGAAGCATGTCGAACCTTTTAACTGGTCAAACAAGTCATCGATTCTCGACATTGGATGCTTGTTCTTCATTATGATCCAATTCAACTTCCTATAGTTGGTGCAAAGTCTCAAAGATCCATCTGTTATGGGCAAACAAGGCTAGAACTCCCCACGATAAAGTATTTGAACAGATAAATCCTTTGTCCTTTAACTCTTGCAATTGGCCGTTGAAATTCTCTCAAATCGGCACGTGTAAACCAATACGGTTGCGTAGAAATTGAAGCAGTTCCCAGGAGCAATTCAATGGTGAACACCTCTCTCCTTGGTGGTAAACCATACAAGTCCTTTGGTCGTCCCCTAATCTAACATCAAACTAGCTAGAAGGTAGCAAATACTTTCTAGGTCTTGGGGGGTTGTACAATGATGATTCCAAGGAGTAGCACCACTCCCCAAGAAAGTAAAAGCAATCCCCATCAAGGGTGCAAATCCTCAACCGTTCTACAGCAATTGATTGTGGCATGGACTGCGGATAACCAATCCATTTCAAGAATAACATCAGAGCTGAACATGTCTAGAAGAATGAAGTCAAAGGTGAAATGGTGCTTGGAGTTCTCTTACTCACAAGCCGACTAACCCTATTCAAAAGGACTCTTACCCCAACTGGTGACTTAACATGCAAGGGTGGGTTAGGGTAGTCTACTTCCAAAATCCCAAGAGAAAAGCAAAAGAAGATGAGATGAATGAATGTGATGTTCCAAAGTCTACCAGCACCCTAGCCCAAGAACTGAACACAAGAAAGATGCCTCAAGCATCCGATGGGTCAAAAGGTAGTGACCATCATTGTGTAGACAAGGCCTGGGTCCTCTGTCCCTGCTGTCCTCTAGGATAAAATTTGATGTTTCACTATTGATTTTTAATATTATAGCCACCAAAAGTAGGCTGTCAACTGAATCCTAGCCTGAATATTGTCCTCCTAGGAGGATTTTGGGATTCAAACCATTATTAGTGTGATGCTTTTATTGTTGTAAATAAAACAACTATATCCATTTTCTTTTGTTTTGGCGGTGGGGGGATTAATAATGCTATGTTTTGGCCAGATTTGGATACCAACTGTTGTGTTGTCAATGCATTGGTTTAATGGGCTCCACCTTTTATGTCTTCTACCAATTACGTTGTTGACACAATAGATTGTATTCTACTTTTTGTACCAAAATTTGGCCACCATAGCCATTACTGGGGTGATGCGATCAGTACGGGTCCATATTTGATTTCTTCAGCTGCCTGCTTTGACTGTGTTTATCCGCGCAAAGATGTGCATATGTGAAATGCAGATAATGTGAATTTTAAAACCATCAAAATGTTGAAGGTTGTAGTGGAAAGTAAAGAATTTTTTTTATCTGATTTTAATGTTTAGAAAAAGTAGTAATGAATCATGCCAGTGGTGACATTATTTTTTTTAATTTTTTTATTTAAGATATTATGGTTAAATGTGGACATTTCTTGGATTATGTAGCACATGTTCCTCTAATTGGGATATGCTTTTGATAGATCTCGTTGGTATGTTCCATCTGACCTAATTAGTATTTAACTGTGAAACCTTTACTCACAATGAAAAGGGTAAGTGGAGGTTCAGTACAAGAGTTTCTTATCTGCAATTATTTTTGACTTGTATAAAACACTGAATATAGAACACTCGTGTGCATGTCCGCAAATGTGCATGTGCTGGCAGTGATGCTTAATAGGAATGGATGATGAGAATGTAAAACAGCCTATGCAAAATAAATATAATAATATTAGTGCACAGTGCATCTACTGATGTCACATATATTGGTGATGACTGGTACCCTTGTCTTGTTGAATGGTATATTCTTTTCCCAGTTCTTCTACATGAATAGAATCCAATCACATAACTGGACATAATTCTCTTACATGGGGTGAGACTTGCACAATTAGGTTGTGCTTGGATGATGCATTTGGATAGGAATTTGGAAGGAAACTAGACATAATTCTATATTTCATTTACATTTTACCCATTTTATCCCTTTCCAAATTCATACCTAAATACATGATCCAAACAGAATCTTAGTGCACTTAATGTGAGACGGTTGTGTCTAGTATAGTGCACTTAAAGAATTTTTCTTCATGTGTTGCAGGTGGTCGGACCTTTTCATGTCTGGTGGCCTATAGCAAAGGAAAAAGGAGCTCAACAGATTCTGGGTTCAATCCCCGGTTGAATCGTCAATGTTTTTAGGTTTTTGATTTTGAATATGTGTTCCATCTTAATTAAATGGAGTCATGTGCCTTGTCTTTTGGAATTAATTATGCAAGTGATTTTATATTATGATATTTGGATGGGTTGTATCTTATTCTAGGATATTTGCTGATGGGGGTTGTGGGATAAAATAGGACAATTCTTCTCTCTAGTTGGGATGTGGACTCCGTGGTTGGCCCATGAAAATCAACAACTCGCTTTAGTTTGATTTGGGACTAGAGAGAAGTCTGGGCCATAAAATTATATATAGTCGTCGACATTGGGTTGCTTGGGCGTCTACTTTTTTGTCCATGTGAGCATGATAATATATAATTATGACACAATTTAGATTTTTATCATATGATGTTGAAGGTAAATCTGATAATGTCACAAAAAAATTTAGGCTGTGTTTGGTAGAGCTTTGTAAAATTAATTCTACCCTTACATTCTAGTGCTATGTTTGGTTTGAGTTTTCAAATCATGATTCCAAATCAATTTCAAAATACATTTTGAAAACATGTTTGGTGAAGTAGAAAATTTTTGAATTTTTGGTATACTTGATCATCGACAGGCCGGTTGATTGGAATAGTATTTTTTTTTTTTAGACCAAACATATTATATTTGTTTTTGAAATAAAATATTTGGAAAAAAAAAGTTTTGTAAAAATTATTATGTGTTTTTGTTATTTTTTAAATATAGAAATCATTTTTTTAGAACAAAATAACCAATTATTTTTTTGAATTGAATTTTATAAAGAGTTTGATTATGAGTTTTAAATAGAATTATCAATAGAGTTTTGAGTTGTATGTTTGGTTATTTCAATTAAGTTTTGAAAATTATTTTCAAAATTCATAACTAAATAATTTTTCTCATTTCATATGTCATGTTAAAAATTTGAAACTCAATTTAAAATTCTTTTCAAAATTCATAATCAAATAAACTTTTTCTTTTCAAATTATAATTTCAATTTTCACAAATTTAAAATATAATTTTATTTTTAAATCATAATTTTAAAATTTTACCAAACACTATAGTACAATTTGTTGGTTCGAGTGATTTGAGAGAGGAGAAAAGAAATGGAGGAAATGACTTTCAATACCTTTATTTATTTATTTATTTTTAACACCTTTCAATTTCTTGTTTGGATTACTAAATAGGGAAATTTAGTTAAAATTTTTCCATTGGACCTTTATTTAGTGAAAAAGACAATTCAATTTATTTTGTTTTATAAATTGCTCAAGGAGAAGATACATAATTGAGTAAGGACAAAGTAAAAAAAAATTATATATTTTTCTTGGATAATATTGTCAGAATAATATGTTACTATAAATTAAAATAATATGTTAGTGTTAAACAGAGTAATATGTTACTGTTTATATTAATTTCTTAAGAATTTCATAGTCAACATAGATCTTATTTAATAGATCTTGATAAGAGGATTTTAAAAATACTAATTTTATTAAAATTGATATTTACATCAAAAGTTATATTATTTTAAAATTTAATATATTGATAATGTTAATTTGTGTTGAACTTTTCAAGAAAAATTTTTTGTGTTTGTTTTTAATGCATTAAAGTTTTATTATGAGGGGAGCTTTGACCAAATTCACCTGTACCAATTAATCTACTAACTAGTATACTAACAGAGGTTTTGGATATTTATAATTTGCTTAATAGATGGGGTCAGTAATAATAACATAACACTAGTTGGTACACTAGTGTGTACATTAATTGATGCATGTAACACCACCGATACATTTCTTTCATACTTTCTATTTTCAGTCTTTTCAAAAGTGGAGTAATGAAATCATTAAATATTATTTTGTTATAATACCAAAACTACTTGTTTAGATCTAGAATAAATAAATATTTTAACAGTTCTAAAAAAAAAAGTTAATTTGATAACATAACATTATATAATTTCATTTCATTTCTTTTCTATAACTTAACCAAACAAGATAGGAAAGAAATCAATATCATTTTTTTTTCCCTTTCTATTTTATAGTTTATGAATATCCGAACGTGTTTCCAAAGGACTTGTATGGTTTACCGCTAAGAAGAGAGGTGTTCACCATTGAGTTGCTCCTAGGAACTCTTCCAATTTCCATGCAACCGTATTGGTCTACACGTGCCGAATTGAGAGAATTCAAGGGCCAATTGCAAGAGTTACAGGATAAAGGATTACACTGGCTGGTTTTTGGCGATCAATTTGGATGCTGTTTGTTTATTCTCTTATATTTCATTTTGATTGGCAGTGAGCTTGGTATTTCACAAGCAATCCAAAGCTAAATCATAGTGTTGGGAAAATGTCAAGCTTACATTTAGAGTTGTGCATAATACCGCTAAAATCACCAAAACTGCACCAAATCACTCCGAATAGCTTCGAACCGCTCATTTTTCCAGCTTTGGCCGACAGGTGAGAGCCCCAACAGTGGCTGGTCGGTGCGGGTGGCGGTTGGAAAATGCCAACCCGCCTTGTAACTGACCCGACCCGCCCTTACATAATTTGCACAAATTCTGCTATATACACATGATCCAGCAAGTTACATCTCATCCATTAGATTACATCTATCATACCAAATGTAAATATACTCTCACACACAATAATTTTTCAATCAAACCTAAACATCTCATCTCATTTATCATTGCCGCTAGTCTGAGGGGTCTAGTCTTGTTCCTCTTCCTTACCTTGCGACTGGCGTTGCCATAGCCTTGTTATCCCCACCGCTTCACTTGCCGTTGCTGCTTTTCACTCGCCATCGCTACTCTCTACGCACCGCCGCTGCTCTCTGCTCACAACCGCTATTTTCTCCTCGCCGATCAGTACGTGCCCTTTTGTTTTCTCTCTATCTCACTGTTCTCTCTCTCTCTCTCTCTCTCTCTCTCTCTCTCTCTTCTGCACTGCTAATCTCCTTTCCTTCTCTCTCTGTTAATCAACAAATGTTGATGTGCTGTTTATCGAGCCAAGGTTCTCTCCTTGCAGCCTGGTACTTGCGCCCGTCCTTGCAGGCCTTCGGGTCTATTTTTAGGCCCAATTTTAATAATCCGAACCGTTCATATTTTATGATTTATTCAGTATATCATACCTGTAAAAAATCAAGTTGATCCCCTCCCCCTCTATGACCCCTCTCTGGCCCATCTTCTATCTTCTTCTTCATTGTCTAAATCTGGAAACCCTAGGGCTCTCTCTCTCTCTCCCTCCCTCTAAGTAGAACTTAGGCAGCACCGCGCGAGAAACGAGCTCGATGTCACGAATCTGGAGTTCGGCGTAAGAGATGAAGATGAGCGCAGGAATCGCGAGGGCTTTGGAGACGAAGATGTATGCGATTGCAATGAGAGGGAAGGAGAGGAGGAGAACAAGCCATCGGAGGAGACTACCGGCTTCTATGGCGACGAACATGAAGTAAAGGAAAGAGGAGCTGCCGATGAGGAGTGTTCCATTGAGGTCGACGGCGATCGACCGGTGTTTCACGGCGGAGACGTCACATGATGTGATCGCCGGTAAGGATTTCTTTAGGATTTGCAAACGAAGGAGATGGAATAAAGATGAGGGCAATTTGGATATTTAATTGAAGGATAAAATTGTAATTAAAAAATTATAAATAATGGTGTCCTTTGAGATAAAATATGGTGTGTGAATAAAGCCACCCCTGCTAATCTCCTTTCTCTCTCTCTCTCTGTTAATCAACAAATGTTGATGTGCTGTTTATCTCTCTCTCTCTGCTCTCTCTCTCTTAAATAAACAATACATCGTTAATGCTCTCTATCTCTCAGTGCCTTTCTCCGTGGCTTTTTGTTTAATTTTTTTGTTAAATTTTTTTTTTTAATTTCAAACCCATATTGATAATTTTTATTTATTTATTTTTATTTGGGATTCATAGGTAGGTATGTTACTCTCATTAAATTTATATAAATTTATGTGGATTAGCTTTGTTACTCTCATCTCAGTTACTGTTAGACAAATAATTAAATCAATTGCTTAAAAAGCAAAAACGCAATCCACTCTCATCATCATTGTAAATTTTTTTTATTTATGTTACTCCCATCATCATTGTAAATTTTTTATTTTGTTTAATGTTTAATGTTATATTAGATGGATATTTTAATTTTGACTATTTTAATTAATTTGTAGATTAGGTCTTTTTACTCTCTAATTTATGTTTTATAATTTGAATTATATTTTTTTATAAACCGCCAATCCGCCCAAACCACCAAGGCAAGTCTGTCATTATTTGCCAACCGAACAATCGATTTTTAGTAAAGAAAATGACAATTTCTAATGACACTTTTATCAATCCGCCACCCGTCTTACGATTTCTATTTTTCTCTTAAACCGCACCGACCCACACCACTCACACCCCTACTTACATCTATAATTATGAAATCATCAATTCAAACCTATCTATGATGTTTGTTAGATAGAATTTGCATATAGAAAGTAACATGACATTATTTTCCACAACCTGAGGGGGGCATTTTAAAAACCTTAGGAAGGCATATACAATTGTTATAAACATTGAGGGAGGTCAATGTAATTTACTTTTTTGTATTTTTGTCACAATAAGTGTCATGGAAATTTTTAGTTTTGAATACTGTTAATCAATTGTTTGATGACAATGTTATTTCATAAAAGTATAAAAGAGGATCATCTAACTGTCAGATATTGGCACATAAATATTTTTAAAAAACACACACACAAAACTCAAGGTTTGCCAGTGCGTCGGCATGGTCGTTGTCATCTCAGCTGACCTTCTGCAACCAGTAGCTTTGGAATTGTGCTAACAGTTTGATGACCTCCTTGATATAGGCCACCATCCTTTCATCTCGGGCTATGTACTCGCCCGTCGCTTGATTTACAATGAGCTATGAGTCACAATAGACTACCTATCTCCTTGACCTCAATTGTTGCTGCTAGTTTGAGTCCTGCAATAAGTGTTTCATACTCTGCTTCGTTGTTCGAGACTTTGAATCCTAGACGGATGGATTGCTCTATCATCTGTCTATCTGGTGATACTAAAACCACTCATGCCCCGCTCCTTGTCAGTTTGAATTGCCATCAACAATGACACGAAAGGAATCGCCGATGTAAATATCGCAAGGTTTTAGTTTTACTTCACTTTTATTCTGTTCTGCCGACATGGGGTTCTGTGGCCCCAATTGGTTTTCTTCTTTTTCTCCTGGGCACCCCTGGCCAAGGCTAACGATGCCAGCCTCGGGATCGTGCCTGGTGTAAACTCTACCATGAAGTCAGCCAGAACTTGGCTCTTTATTCCTGTCCTTTGTCTGTATTCTACGTCATAATGACCTAGAACTACAGCCCATCACGCTACTTTGCTAGTTAGATCTCCTTGCTGTAACAAAACTTCAATGGGTGCTT